AACATAAAAAAAGTCTTAATTCTGAAGAGCATTGGCTTGTTTTCCAACACCTTTATGAAAGTAACATGGAAATGTGTTGTAAAAATGAATCAAACTCAGCATCCCCCAAAAAAAGAACAAAATATGTTTGGATCTTTTTGAAGTTTGGGATCTGTGAAAAAGTTCTGAACAATTTTATCTTAGAAATCCAGGGTTCCTACAAAGTCTTAAAATGTTTGGAAACATATTGATTTTGATTTGAGTGTTTCCAGGTCTGGATAAGTATGGGGGGGGGGGGAGGGGTAAAAACAGGTTGGCTCTTTTCAAACTACTGTAATTTATATTACTTTTCTAAAGATTTGAAACCTTGAATATCTAAAAAGTATTGAAAATTAACTAAGAAATAATTTGCTCGACAGCACATTTTATGATTCTACACTGTGTAAAACGTAGATTTTTGTCATTATAAATTATATATTGTCTCGTCCTCCATGAAATTTCAGTTTAATATTACAGGCTGGACTTTTTAGGTTTGTGTTACCGACTTCCGCCACCCGAAAAAAGGAAGAAGCGGGTAAAGATAATGGATGGATGGATGTACGGACTTGGAAACCACAGACTTGTGCATGGTCATAGATAAAGTTTGAGAACTGGGGATGCTGAGGGTGCTATAGCACCAGCCTATATAATCTTTTGGTTCTCCTCAAAAATAAAGGAATGAATGAATAAGTAAAAAAAAAAAAGCCCTATTCATTAATGTTATGTAGGTTTACAATTCAATTATATATTTGTAATAATTACTTTGCAATTAGGGGAAATTACGTTGCTGTTTTAAAGTCATTACAAAATAAAATTTGTTAATAATAAAAAGTGTTTTGGTCTAAATTTTTTATGGCTTTTGCACATAAAAAAATATAAAATTCATAAATATAAAAAACACATACCTCTATAGAAATGTCTGCTTTGAATTTATATGTTAAAAAAATGTCTAAAAATCTGAGAAATCTGAAAATCTGAGTTTGGAAAAATATGAAATTCTAATAAAAAATGTATCAGATAGTGCTTCGAAAAGCCTCTATTAGGAAAAGTAAAAATTTAATTCGGACAAGATCGACAAGGTCATGCCTAGTCAAAGCAGGGCGGAGACCAAAGTGAATTTTCTGTCTTCAAAAACAACTTTTTTCTCACAAATTTCATTGTTGTTCACCCAAACATCATTTTGCATTACATGGTTACTAACCAAGAATTCAATCGTTATTTTCAAGTGCAAATGGTGCCAGCAGCTGTAACATTTCCACTGCAGTTTGGGGCTTTTCCAAGAGCATCAATACATTTTTGACGGAATAATCAAGTTGTGCATAATTGTTGGTAATATAAAGCATATAAAACAATATTTGCATGAACAGTTTACAAATCTTTTTCAACTGGAGTTGTTTTGAGATTGCAGCAGTTCACTTTGTTCTTGGCCCTGTTTAAACTCACCGTTATTAACAACAGGTGAGATATTAATTGCTTGTAACTCTTCCATTATTAACCCCACTTCAAAAGATCAAAACTATACCTCTAAAGACATTTGCATCGCATGTGGCAAAACTGAAACCAAAATGTTTGCAAAACAGCCAAATTTCTGACTCAAATATTTAAAATGATCAACTTTTGTGTCCCTAAACTTCGTGACCCTTTGCCTTTTTCCAGGCCTTGCTTGTACTGGATGTATTTAAAGATGCTTTGACTTTGTAATAGTCCGCCTACTAGCTGTAACCCAAGTAAAAGCAGCTTGCAGTTCCACGTAGCCTAACATTATCCCTGCGTATAACAACATCTCTGGGTCTGTTGGGTCTATTTTTGCCCTGCTCCTTTAAAAATCTGGTGTTTCAACGCACACAAATCAAAAGCCCTTCAAACAGACGCTGCCCACACACACTGGAAATCCTTTGAAACTTGAAATCTGTCAATGCTGAGCACATGTCTCGATACACCTCCTCTCCTCCAGAGGTTTTCATCACAGAGTTTTTGCTCTTTTCTGATTCAATATTCCTTTCAGCTCAGCACTAATTGCTTAAAGTAAAGAGTGATGTCTCTTTTCTCTCATTTGCTTTTTATCCTCGTTTCCCCCCCTGTTTCTGACGCACTCTCTCCATCATTGTGCTGTACCTCGTTTTGATTGGTGCAGAATCCTCATTCAGGGGAGGTAGATTACGCTTGATGAGATTATGTCCGTGTCTTTTCGGCAACGCGCCTCTGACTGCGTTAAGATTCTCCAGCTGTGTGTGGTTGTGAGAGGATGAGACGTAACTGAGCGTTTCCAAAGTTGTAGTTTTGCTCAAAGGTGTCTCAGTCCGCCTGCAACAGTCAGATAGAAGCTCTTGAGACTTGAGTTCACACTCACACCACAGGTGACACCACAAACACTCGCTGTGAGCGTGTGCGTGTTGATTCTCGGTCCCTTGATACGATTCTGTCTCACTTTTGGGTCCTTTAGGATTTTCATGTGTTTAAGCTCTGTTCAGGATTCAGAGCTTACTGTCTTCTCACCACGAGCCCTATGGGTGTTTCATCTGTGAAATCCCTTATCTTGTGTCGCACACAAAACACCTCACAGTCAGTGCTGTGCAACATTTCAAATGTCTCCAAGTGTGTTGTATTTTAAAAGTGTTCGGGAACTGGATTGAGATTTGTTTTAAAAAAAAAATCAGCAAAAGTCCAAAGAAAAGAATATTGATCAAGACCACTTAAGGAAAGGGATATCTTGGAAGGAAAATGAACCCAGAAAAGTGTGCATACTCTAAGAGGGGTGGATGGTTTGTGAGGATGGATATGTTACCCGCTGCATGCGGCAGCTTGTACACCTGGCGCTTTGTCCAGAGACACGGTGGGACTAAACACCGTCCTTCTGTAAACTTCAAACGCGCTGAGGGTGGAAGGAGGGGCAGGTGGTGCGCTTTTGAAGGCCTGCACTTGTCTTTTCCCCATCCCACCTATTGTCCATCCTTTTCTTGACCCTCGCCTCTTTTTGTTTCGCTCTACCTTCAAAAGGGCCCTCGTCCTCCTCTCCCACCTCCCTCTCTTCTCGCTCGTGTTGCAGCCCCTCAGATAATCATCGTGTGTGCATTGTTCAGTGTGTATGAGCAGTTTTCTAACTGGCAGACGGTATCCGACAGCTCAACAACACGTGTGACTGACATCTAAAGTGTGAAGTGTTTGTGCGAGGGATTGACGGACAGCGACGGTCACAGCTTTGTGCCATCTGTCTTGCTGGGTGCCAGGCGTTCACTGTAAGATTTGCTAGACGATAATGAAGTGTTAAGTAAATTGTACTATTGGTCTTTTTTATGGAATGTTTAGTCAGTTTACAGAAAATGAGAGTTTCTTCTGTTAATGCTACCTCTGCAAGAAACTGTTTAAACCAAACAAAGAGTAAAGCAGGGCTGTTCAGCTAAACTGCTCAGGGGGCCACAGTTACTGAAATCCAGGAGCTCAGGGGCCGGACATCCAGCAATTAAAGTCATTATGTAAATAAACCAAGTATTACAATGATCTGTTACATTTTACATTTGTTTATTTTGCTGTATCAAATCATAAATTGAATTGAGTTGAATTAGGCCTGTCACAATAACAAATTTTGCTGGGCGATTAATTGTCTTAGAAATTATTGTGATAAATGATAATATTGTTTGAAATTTGACAATAATTAGTCATTGTTTATTTATTCATTTCATTTCATTTCCAATAAAAACACAAATACAATTAAAAAAAATATATATATATAAAATGAAAGGAAGCAGAAGAAGAAAATTTCTTATATCATATTATTGTCAAATTTAAGAAGAAATGCTGGTTAATTTGTTTTGAGTGTAGTACCTTTTTTGGACCACTGGACGGCAGTACAAGACTGTTTGAACCGAAGGATGGATAGTGAGGGAGTGAGCAGCGTGTCTCTAAGAAAAATGGGAGGGAGGCAACTTGATGGACTTTCTCTCTTTCCTTTTCTTTGGTTTTCAAAATGACAGATTCTTGGTGTGGTTTGAGCTCTTTGCATCGCATTTGTCACACAAAGCTTTTAATAAAAAATCAGTAAACAAGTTCTCAGCTTATTTTTGCAGAGAAAAATGACATTTTACACAAAGGCACAGGTTTCAACCATGAAAACCACGAGCTTCAACAAGACAGAGGGTTTTTTCCTTGAGGTCGGCCTGTTAGCTTAGCTCGTAGTTTAGCTTCTCAGCTTAGCTGCTTTTAGCGATCCAAAAACGTGAGTTTGGCTGATTGAAACAGATTTTAAAGAGAAAGGGAGGTGTCAGTGTAGAGCACCGGAGTTGAGCCTTTTGTCATCCAGTGTCTTCAGTAGAAAGAGAGAGACATGAAGAATCGATAAAGCCGATAAATGAAAATGAGGTCAATAATTTTCATTTATCATGCAATTAATTGATTTATTGTTTATTGCGACAGGCCTAGACTGACTCTCAGCTTTGTACTACCACACCAACTTTTAGCACACTGTCTGTAAAATTGACTATTGTATTTTCTAAGGTCACTTGAATAATGCAACCATTGGATTAGCATAGCATGACTCCAAAATGTAATAAACTGTAGATGTGCAGTCACTGATTATTGCCTGGACGTTTTATTAAAATATGTCCAGTGGTTTATGAGATATTTTGGTAACGGACAAACAACTCATGTTCGTGCTGCTGTTGTCCGGCGTATTGTTTTTGTACTACTAGTGCTTAGCATAGTCTTAGTTTAGTGTATTTTCTAGTCCATATCTTAAATCTTACATACTGTTTTTATTTTACATTTCATACGTTTGATGGATATAACTGGGACCCTATGTGCACAATTTCATTCCACCACATGTACCACATATGATGTGAATGACAATAAAGAAACCTTGACCTTGACAAACACACACCCATACAAAACACATCCACCTTCACCTTTTAGTGGCAGGTGGATAAAATAGCCAGTGCATTCTGTTGCACTTGTTCTCTAATAAATGTCTTCTTTCTGGTGTTGTGCAGGTGTGAGTGCGATGAGGAGGAGTTTCAGAGTTTGAGGCCATGGGCTGCACCTCGGCCAAGCAGGTGTCGGCTGTGCCCAACGATGAGGAGGGACGCGGCAAGGCCTACAGCAATGGAGACCTCTTCTCTGGTCAGTTCACACAGGGCTGTCAATAAAAGCTCCATTTCACTCAATTAATTGCTCAGCGCAGAGCCACAACACCCCCACCCCCTTCTCTGTCCTGGTACTATTTTCTTCTCATTATAACTCCATTGGCAGAGTGTTCAGTTTTCTATTTCAGAAAATAACTCTCACCAGCAGCAGCTTTATGGGAGTCATCTTTGTTGACAGTTTACGTAAGAGAGGAAGTAGTTGGTGGCATGTTGATAAAAACTGACATCTGTCGTTTTTATTTTAGTTTTTAACAGGATGCAGAAAAACTGAAAGGGATGCTACGAAGCTGAGAATTAATACAGAAAGACAGACACTGCACTTTTTTTTTAGTTAGATAAACAATATTCATCCATTAACAATGAGACGTTTTAAAGCGTCTGAATATATTTTTCAGGAAGCCACTCAGAAGGGATCGAGATTGAACCATTGAATGTTGTTGTCAGGCGTGCAGCGTTTGCACCGGATCACAAGTTTGGAACAACTCCATAAATTTCAATACAGCCCCTATTTTCCTGTCATAGGAACACTTTCAGATGTATTTGAAAATGTGTTCCCACAGTTTCAAGTGTAATGTCAATAACATAAAATGTTTGAACAGTGACATGTCGGTGTATCGTAAAAGTGACAGATAAGATATTTTTAGCACATAGTTACGTGACCTCTTTTAGCAGCGCTCTGTAACTGATCGAGAGGACAAATACAGCAACTCAAAGCAGTAATCCACTTCTGCTCAGTGCAAGATTTCCACTGCAGGTTGTTTCACGTATTTAAGGCTGACAGGTCAGATCTGCATGCAGACCGATTCAGTATCTGGACTCGTTGTTTTTATATCCCCTGCCGTCCATAAACTTTTTCTTGTCCGATCCATAACTTCTAAAAAATATAATTTACCAAAACTTCAAACACATATGCATCATCACTAGACAGAGTGTCACATAAACTTTCAACCACTCTAGCTCCAAGGTCAAGGTCACGAATCAAGGTCAACTGTTTTTGCTTGTCAGGATCCTAACTTCTAATCCACTCAAGATAGTTTCACGAAACTTCATACACATATGCATCATCACTAAATAGTGTCACGTACACCTTTCATCACCTCAGCATCAAGGTCAAAGTCACAAATCAAGGTACACAACAAACAAGATCTTGTCTGGGCCATTGCTATAGATTGCTGTATAATCATTTGTTGATGGGCATATAATTCAATTCAGTTTATCCATAAAGCACCAAATCACAGCAGAAATTGTCTCAGGGCACTGAACAAAAACATTCACATACATACAAAAGCCAATTAGTTAAAGTTTTCTATCTAAGGAAGCCAGCAGACTCGTTGACTCTTCATTTTGTCACAGTCTCCCATCTTGAGCAAGCACAATGGCAACAGTGGAAAGGAAAATCTCCCTTTTAACAGGAAGAAACCTCCATCAGAACCAGGCTCAGGACAAGTGGCCATCTGCTTCGACCGGCAGGAGAGTCAAACGAACACAGAATGGCAGGCCCAGATGTAGCTGCAGGTGTACCTGAAAGACAAAAACACATGTCAAGGATAGAAAAAATAATTACAAATACAAAACAAGTAGAGTGGAGCAAGTAAATAAAGCAGCAGCAGAGTGAAGAAATGTGGTCAGTCTGTCCTCCAGCAGTTTAAACCTATAGCAGCATAACTAAGGGATAGCTCAGGAAACCCCAATCAACACTAACCATAGGATTTATCAAAAAGGAGAGTCTTAAGCCCCGTCTTAAAACTGGACAATGTGTCAGCCTCATGGACAGAAACTGGAAGTTGGTTCCACAAGAGAGGAGCCTGATAACTGAAAGCTCCGCCTGCCATTCTGCTTCTAGAAACTCTAGGAACCACAAGTAAACCTGCAGTCTGAGAGCGAAGTGCTCTGTTAAAAAAAGATGGAACAATAAGATATGTAATATAAGATGGAGCTATGTTAATGTGCTGTATGTGGTACTCTTGTTGTAAAACCTACAAAATCAGGTTTAACAATGTCTTGCTAAAATAATCTGTCTTTTTTTTTAAGTAGATGTCACCTGAAATGAATTTTTTTACGAGTGTTAAAGCACCCATTTCATTCAACTGTGCAGAAAAACTGTCAGAAGGTTCCTCTCGTCTGACCTTTTTTACTGATTATTTTTGATGTGGGAACTTTAATTTATGCTTGTGGATATTCTGGCAATTTGTGTTTGTTTACTGTCAGAGGTGTTGACATTTTGTAGTGATTTCTTTTCTCCCCTGATTTTCACTCCGTGCTGCCTGAGGCTCTCACTATTAGCATACGCTTGTGATTTTTCATGTACATAGGACAATAAGATCATTTAACTCTTTGAATTTTAAACGTCAATTCTTTTAACCATTTATAGTGTGCACGTCTTTTTCCAAGCTTTAATTTAGTACAGAATTAGCCTTACTAAGCTGTCTTTTTGTGCACAAATCATTTTGCGGTTTTGTTCTACATTGCTCTCTCATTAGCAGGTTTTCTTGACACTTATTGATCTGTTATAATCAGAATCTTAATTAGCCATTTGTTTTGTTCTTTTCTAGTTTAAATATCTATTAATACTTTCTTTAAGTAAACATGGTTTTTAAATCATTCTGAAGTAATGCATTTTGTTTTTATTAACATCTTTTTTTTTTTAATTGTTGCAAATTATTACCTTTATTAGTCAAGTCAAATGTATTTATAAAGCACATTTAAAACAGCAGCTGTTACCAAAGTGCTTCACAATAAGACCAAGGTCGTAATTAAGGCAAAAATAATAACAAGAGGTAATTACAAACATCAAAAATAAAAACATAAAAACAACAAGGAACAAATAAATTCTAAATCAGTGAAATGAAATGACCATGTTGACCTAAATGAAATGAAAGCTCAGGATAAACCCCAAAGGGAGCAGATAGAGTGAAAACAAAAGGGGTCCAAGAATTGAGCCCTGTGGGACCTCACAGGAAAGAGGCTCTGACACAGATACACTATTTCCAACCTTAACGCAGAAACTCCTGTCACTTAGGTAAGAACGGAACCATTCTAATGCTGCACCTGTAATCCCAACCCAGTGTTCTAACCGTGATATAAGGATACTGTGGTCAACAGTATCAAAAGCAGCAGTAAGGTCCAGGAGTACAAGTGTAACAAACTGACCAGAATAATTTGCTAACAGAATGTCATTACAAGCCCTAACCAAAGCTGTTTCAGTGCTGTGTTTAAAACCAAACTGAAAGATTAATAAGATTTATTAGCCATTCATTGGACCTACATTGATAATATGGTGTCTTTTTCAGTTTTGAGGTGTTTCACAATGTATTACAACGTTTTATTTCCCCTCATCAGATTATAGTTTTGGACATATTGTGGCCACAAAATATTCCTGGAAGAATTCAGACCTTTATTAGACCAAGCAGTTGTCATTTTTGTAGATTTGATCGTTTGAAACCAGGCAGGAGAGTCATTGTTGCTGAACAGAAATGGATGCAGCTCCAGCTTTAATTATGTGGAGGAGGCTGTTGTGTAATGAAGGATGGGGATGAAAAAGAGATGATGGGTGGCGGAGAGATTAACAGCGATTAGGAATTAGGAGCAACACTCTGGTGTAATGGCAGACAGTCGGGTGGAGGCTGGTGGATGCAGCAGACGACGATCCACGGGAGGTCCCTGTTCTCTCCAGCTCCGTTATCCCTGCCTCCCTCTGTTTCCTCTCCTCTCAAGGCTTCTTACCACATTTCTGACACCTCTCCTTGACTTTTTGCTCTTTTCCCATCCCATCTACTCCCTCTCACACACGTTCTCCTCTTCCTCCTTCGCGACAGCAGATGAGCGTCGGAGGAGGGTTTTCTTTGAGACGACGTCAGAATGACGCGCTGCTTTTTTCCTCTCCCTCATCTCAACTTCTCAGTCTCATTTGGGTCGCCTCTTCTCCCTGATCAAGGCCTCGTTCTTCCCTTCCTCTTTTTCTCTGTCACTCTATTTTGGGTCTCCCCACCCCCAGTCCTCCCCCTCTCCCTCACTACCCCCCTCCTTCCTGCCTTCATCTCCCAGTGTTTCTTCTCTCTTGGCTCTTTTCCTCTCGTCCCTTGCACATTAGGTCAAAACCTTGTGTCCTTTCACATCCCTTCCTCCAGACAGTCCTGTTCTTCTTGCTGTCTTTTGATTACAATGGAATTTAAGGGCAGCTGTCAATGGGCCAGGCTACGAGCTGAACATGTCCAGCGGAGGATAAAAGTGACCTGGATTTTGTGGATTAAACCCCCCACCTTTCTTCTTCATCTTATCTTTTCCTGCTGTCTCAGAGTTTGCTTTAACTGGAACATTGTTGTGTACTCTCTTACTGCTCAATTTGCCATTTTTTCCAGCGCCAATCTAATTTGCTCTCTGCATCCGGTTTACTTCTGACTGAGGTGAAAAATATGGGTTGCCTCTAGTCAGTCAGTCTGTCTCTCTCATGCTCATAAAGTTACCCCCAGTGGACTGTCTGTGAGCGTATGTGTTGGGGGGGGGGGGGGGGTATATCAGTGTATTTAGTTACACTCTGAACCCTCTTCTTCCTCTCACTGATCAGCCACCAACAGATTTAAGTCTGTGCAAAGCTCGGTGTCCCACATATTTAGGCAGCCAGACTCCAGCAATTAGCCTCCTCCAACCCACTTCCCTACTCACACCACCCTCTCATTTGCCCTCGCACAATAACCGGAAAAGGCTGAACTCCATTACACAAACAGTGAGGAGCGACGAGGGAAAATAGAAACACTCGCTCTCGGCAGCGTCGTGCTGCCGATATCTAATAAAAGCAGAGAGATGAGATCAGACAGGAGATAGCTTACCAAGTGCTGCATGTGTGTTGGTTGTTGCATCATGTGACACAAAAAGACGTGGTGTGCAAATAATACAGGTAGCTTACGTGTTTGAAATGGGGTTCTGTGGAACGATTTGAACAGTTAATATCTTACCTGTTGAAGATAGCTCTTTGAATGC